AAAACTTCTGTCTTTCTTCTGTAGAATGGAGATCATAACAACACCATGGAAATGCGGAGAGGGTTAAGTAAGATAACCCAGCACAGTGCCAACCTCACGGTAGACAGGAGATCCATAAATGAGAAATTACTATTATTATTATATATTGTTAAGAAAAATTATTCAAAATTTAGAAGTAAGGTGCAAGGTTGACTGCATGTCAGGCAGGCTGGAGCAGCACCCACCAGATCCATTAGAGAGTTATTTCCTTTTATAATGAGATTATTCATGCCTTGATTCATGCTACTGTTTATCAATGATTAGAGCCCTACTCCCAAAGTCATAGGTAAAATTTTATAAATCTGTTAAAGAGGCAAGTGATTTCTGTGTGGTAGAATAAACCCAAAGGTCACAGTTTTATTGCTCAGTAGGAAATTAATCAATTGTGTATCTAACCTAGTAATCTTCAGTCTTTCAGCATCAATATACATTGCATCTTGAATTCTTTTTGAACCATCTTTACCATCCTATTGGTTCTCTCATTAATTTACATTAGATTCATTATGGAAAATTATACTTTGACAATGTCTATGGTGGTGCATGCTTGAATGAGTACATATCTTTAAATAAGTGGCTGGTTCCACTAATTAAAATGTGAAGATACCCCCTCCTTCTAACCTATTTTTGCATTTCCATGGAATCTCTGAGGTCATAGTAAGAACTAGAGACTGGGGGGAGCCCAGACTTTATCCTCTGTTTCCTGCTAAAGGCCAGTGGGCTTTCAGCCCAGCTTACAGTTGCACCAGTGCTTACCTTCTCTGGGATCCTGTTCTTTGTCCCGCTGCTGGTGAAGTAAAGGAAGGTCTTCAAACCAACCTTCTGCCTGCTGTCCACTCTCCATCTCAGAAACAGGCATCCTGAACAGTTTCATGTTTAAAATACTTCTATCCTTAATATAAGCACATGGAATGCTTAGGAAAAATAAGCAAAGGATGAATTAGAGTGTTCAAATTCTTAAAAAGTATTGTCAGGTCCCCCGACCCCCCCCAACCCCCATTACCCTTCTTCCCCACCTCAGTCTCCATCCTTCATTTAAGTATAAATGAGCCCGCTCTCCTTTCAGCTAACTTCTTTTCTTTTTTTCTCAAACTCTTTGAAAGTTCCCTTGGGAGTTTCAAAGCATCCCTTCCAGCCACTACTCTTTTATTCCCAAGGGTTGAGTGATTGGGCCCTCTGCCCTCTCTGAGAAAGGTGTTAACTAGCCTGCCATTCAAGTTACCCCAGACCCAGGAGGCTCTTTTTACTGTGGAAGGAAGCTCTAAGCTGGTGTCTCTAACCTCAAGGTCCAGCCACCTGGCGTGACATTCTACTTTCCCGAGGAAAAGTCAGTTGAGGTCATTGCCTAACAGAACCTGGGCCTGACTGACCTGTTGAGTATCGAGAAGTGTGGGGAGGAGGTGTGGGTTTTACAGTGCTGAGAGTGGGATGGGATGTGTGAGGGAGGGGGCAGAGTCAGTGTCTTTGAAAAGGCATAGGTTTCATTGTAATTTTATCCTTGGAGCATGTTTAACAATTAACATTTTTATTGTATACATTACAGAGAAATAAGTATGACACATAAGCATGTGTGCTGGTGATGCACTGGAAATGCAGGACCTCCCTATGACTGTGTGGGGTGGGAAGTGGAATTACTGGAATCTCCTGGAGATAGAAGATTTTTTATATACATCAAAAAGGGACATGGATTTTTTAAATAGTTGAGAAATGTTGTGGGATTTTTGAACAAAGCCTTAGTTAGCATAGCTCGAATCCTTCTATCGCTCCAGATCCTCAAAGGGATTTCAAGTAGCCTAACCTACAATTTTCCAACCCAGAAAAAAAAGTCAGCTGCAATATGCAAACATTTAGAAGTTATTCAGGTTCCCTCTGGAAGGTTTTGTTTCTTTGTTTTTGCTTTTATTTATTTATTTGGCTACAAAATTGCAAATAATATAGGTACATTTAACTCAGTGTGTTCTGACAAGTAATAAACTAATACTTACAATGGTTCCTAATGGATGAAATATGGGTTATATCAGTGAGTGTGCATATACATACACAATATTATAAGGAAAGATTTATGACAACTCACTCACCAGTGGAAGATTATTTCAGAAAACATAAATTACCAGAGATCCAAGTAATGGCTTTCCCTGAGGGGGATTTGAATTGGATCCTGAAACTCTAAATTTAAATCTATCACCCAGACTTCAAGAAATATTGTAGTTATATATAAGATAGCACTACAGAAATGAAATCCAATGACAACAAATTAGTTGAGCCTTTTAAAAATTATTATCAGAATTAATGTTACTCTACTGAGCTAATTCTTGCTCTAAATTCAGCTTGTCTTCATAGCATCAAGAATCTGATCCCAAATGGATTTCATAAATAATCCCTTTTAATAAGTATCATGTTTCATTGAAATGTAAAAAGAAATCTCATATGGAGAACTCTAACAAAAAAGAGCTGGGAATAAGACAGCTTAATAATTGGTAAACTTTTTTCACCTTGCCTTCTTAAATCTGTGTTTCTACTGCCAACAAGATAGGCATATTGACATAAAAATGACCATTTTGTAGGACCTAAGGTCAAACCCACTTTAAATACCAAGTTATTTATGTCTTTACAGACTCATTGATCAGTGTAGACGGCCACTTGTGATTCATCTGTTCCATCATTCCTAAGCATGAAGTTAGTTACAGGAAATAATTACAGAAAGTTCGTTTTCGGTTTTTTATTAAGAACTAATGGAGAATAACATTTAAACATGCTGAGATTAAAATGCATTCTGTAAATGATTTCCTTATCAGAAATCAAATCCTGTATTATGTCTTCAACTATATAAGCTGAATAGACGTCTTTTAGCACCTGACTCTGCCCTTTCCTGGCTGTAGGCTGTTAACTGGACCTTTTTTCCCCTGTTTTCTCACATATAAAATTGGGGATAACAATTGCAGTTATCTCACAGAATTGGTGAGAGAATTAAATGAGCTAATATGAATATGAAACCATGTGTCTGGCACATAAAAAGGGCTCAATAGCTGTTATAATTATCACCGTTAATAAATTCAAATGATTGACAAAGTATGATTGAGACTTTGAAATATGTCTTTTAATCCATATTTTGGTATTTCTCTCTTTCCAAGTGCATTTTATTTGGGCACAATGTAGCCATCACATTTGCACTGTATGTAAATCCATGCCATAAAATAAGCTGTTATATATTTGGTTTAGGGGCTTAAAAGGGTGCTTCCAACTGTTAAAATTACTCAACTTCTTTATGAGGAGACAGGAGAAAAAGAAATAATGTCTGTTGAACAAGTACACTGTTTTCTTTTTTTTTGTTACTGTTTTACCTACCAAATGGGCAGTACTCCCTTTGGAAGAGCTGGTGGGAGAGGGAAATGCCATTTAGAAAGCATACAACACAGGCAGCATGGCAAAACACAAAAGTTCTGAACTGTCAGCTTCCAGGGTCCTTGAATGGCCAAATGACTCTTATTTTCCTAAAAATATTCTAAGAATATTTTCTAACAGCAATTTTAATAAACTGAGTCACTCACCACTGTGATTTAACATCTACTGTATCAGCTATGTCTGGCCAGCCCTGCTGTCTTCACATTTTTTCTTTATGTTTATTCTTAAGCTTAGCAACTAACCAAACATTGAGTGGAATATCAATATTTAAAAGTAAAGTGTATTAATAGTTTACTGTTCCACAGAGTGAATGAGTTTGTACAGTTTACATTTTTATACTTCTGTTTTATCTGTGATGTTGTGAATGCATGAAATTTTGCCCCCCCCCCCCCCATTATGTTTCACAAGCTTTCAAATACTGGCAAAAATGTGTCTTTGTGTGTCTTTCGTTCACATAAGAGATTATTATGTTAAGTGCTGGTGAATATAAAAATGTTAAGAACAGGAGAACGATTTTAATAAAGAATCAAAAACTAACAACTATGTTAACAAGACAGTTGGTTTTCTTAAGGCAGTGAACAAAATTAAAACTCCCCGCCTCCCTCATGTAAATAGTTTTCTTCTGACGAAATAGCTATAAGCCCGTGTTTCTGGACACAAAACTGTTTTAAAACACTGCTGACTTTTACCTAAAGCAAATTTTAAGCAAAGTGTTTTATTTTATGCCATTTAAAAATTCTAAAAGTCATCTGTTTGCGGTCATAGAATTACTGTTTTTGTTTTGTTTTACTCTGGAAAGGCTTGAAAATATTTACTCTAAACCCATTTTACCCATACGAAAAATATTACCATATTTTGGAAGAGAACGTGACCATTTGTCATTGCGGGCATCAGATTGGTCTAGGCAAGGGAAAAGTATTTAGTGTTTTTGCATCAGCTCTTGGTTCTGAATGGCGCCTCTTCCACCCATCAGAGAACCTTTAGAGCTGGCAGAGTCTTTAAGATCATTATTTTTTTACCCTCAGTTTACCGATAAGAACCTGAGCTCCAGAGAGTGAGGGACCTGTTTAAGGTGCAGAGCGCTCCAGATAAAGTGCAGGATCCTTCCTCAACTTCCTTGTTGTGGAGGCTGCCTTCTACATGCCATTCTCTTTTTCTTATGATCCTCACAAAGATCATTTCGAGTCTTTCGCAAAAATGACTGGAAAATTGGGGCTTATGAGACGTTTTCCTCGCTTTCTCCACGTCCCCAGCCGACGGCGGAGCCGCGGTGCTGGAAGAGGCAGCCGAGCAGGGGCCAGCCTCCTTCTCCGGGAGAGCGGGTGTTGGCTCCCGCTGACCACATCCCGCAGCCAGAGGCCCGGGCCCCAGGCCGCGTGATGCGGCCCAAAAAAGGTGCAGCAACGCACGTGGCGCCCCGCCGGCGCCCGGGTCTCGGCGTCCAGGCCTCGCGCGCCACCGCCCAATCGCCGCGGCCGCCTGGCGCTCGGACCGCGCCCGCGGGTCGCAGGGAGACTGGGGGCCGGGAGCCGCGCGGAGCCGCGCGCCTGAGGCCGGCGGGCACGGCGGCGGGCGCGGGGTCACTGGCGCTGCAGGAGCCGGGCCTGTGGCTCGGGGAGGTGGAGCTGGCGCCGGAGGCGGCGGCGCAGGACGGGGCGGAGCCGGGCCGCGTGGACACGTTCTGGTACAAGTTCCTGAAGCGCGAGCCGGGAGGAGAGCTCTCCTGGGAAGGTACGGGGAGCTGCGCCGGCCCCGAGCGCCGAGCGGGGCCTCGGCCTCGGCCTGGGGCGGGCCCCACAGTCCCCGCTGCGGCTTCCCGGGCGCACTGCCCGGCTGGGCCGCCCGAACGCCCCGGGCGCCCCGGGCTGACGCTGCGCAGCTGTCGCCGCCAACAGCGCCTCCTGCTCCCGACTGGTTCCCTAGATTCAGGCTGTGTCCCCGACCTCCCGCTCCTCCGACCTCTTCACCACACAACCCGGACGCGCCCAGCGTCTCTCCCCCGCGCCCGCGGCGCGCTCGCGTTCCCCCGCCCTCCGCTCCCGCTGCGCGTCCCGAGCGGCCCGGCCCCTCCGGTCAAGGGTTCGCGCCTCAGCTCTGCCTTAGTTGTTTCTGTGCCCATTTTCTTGTCCTAATTCACTAAAAAATGGCCCAACCGGTGAAGCTAAACTTTTCGCTAGTCCAAAAACCACATCGTGCTACTTAATTTTTTCCCCATCTTCGTAGAGAGTGAGTTAATGCATTTCTCTCTTTTTTTGGATTAAAAAAATCCCAAATAAATGGCAGTTGAGATAATGCTCTGATTTCTGGTCTGGGGACATTTATTGTCCTTTGTGTTGCCATATCAGAATAGAAAGGTACTCTCATCAATTATGCCCTTCTTTACAGGGTATTACTATTAGTAGTTTTATATAATTTTTTTCATAAAAAAGTAATGTCTGATAATCTTAATAAAAATTAAGATGGCTAACAACAAAGCTCTCCCCCTTTCCCAGTCCTCCTTTTCTATTTTTAGTGTTTCTGATATTCCTCCCAAAGTTCTGCATAATTTGCTTATATTATTATTTCTTTAAGGTATCAACTTGAACTTTTCTGTTTTTAGATTTTCTGAGAGTTATATATAATTTATTAAATTATTATTATTATTAAATTAAATTCATTAAATTATTATTATTAAATTAAAATATTGACAGCTGCTGATACCTATAAAATTAACCATCACATTTGCTATGAAATATGAGGAATTTAGCTCAAGTTTATTATCTCTCCTCCCTGCTGATTTTTATTTTAAATTATATATATGGAGTTGACTGTTGACTTTCTATTATATAGAAAGTTCTGTATTGTACTTACGTTATATAGAAAGTTACTCCTATATAAAAGGATAAGAATAGCTCACCTGCACATTCCTTTCCTCCCTACTTGGGTTAATCATTATTTCTCCATTAAGTTCTATAAAATTCATACTCTGTTTTATAATTGTTACTACACCTTCTTGTTTTAGACTGATAGGTTGGTTCTAAGAATTGTAAGTTAACAAAGAGCATTATGAGAAGCAGCAAAGCCAGTGTTTAAGAGCAGTGATTATAGAGCCAGAATTCCTGGCTTCACCAGCCAGTGTGTGAACTTGGACAAGTCACTTAACCTTCCTGTGCTGTTGCTGAAAAGACTAATCTGGCTAATAAATCTAAAGAGCTTTGAGTGGGACATATTAAGTGTTAAATAAGTGTTAGTTATTACTATTTTTGCTATTATGGTTAGGAAATAATTACTTAGTACAGAGCCAAGTAGTGCAATTAGACTCATAAAAAAAAGAAATATAATTCTGATATGAAACCTGTGTACCAGGAGGAAAAACTCTCTTCTCTTACATAATAAGTCATGTTCAGATTTATTTAAAATGACATTTTACTTTATATTTGGGTGGTGATGCTCTTCTACACCTTGTTTTAATATTTCTAGTTCCTTTTTTTTTGTACAAGTTCATACTGTCTAGTTACTTTTTAAAAAAAAAAACAGAAACAGCCCATTTATCCTCAAAATTACCTAGCTTAATTGCCCTATTTGATAAATACAAATTCCTTACTTTTTGAAGGCATTCTTTTCCTTGAAGAACTGGGATATTCTAATTTGCACTGATATATAACTTTCTGAGCACAGCTATCTGGGACTTTTATTGTTTTTTTCATTGAACTCCTGTGTTAGTTGTATTGTTTTGGATTCCACATTTTTCGCTTTCTTAAGTACCTTAATCATTTCATTGGATTGTATCCTCAAATAACTTTGAGGAAATAGTAAGTAGGGAGTCCTTATAAGCCTTTCTTTTGCTTTCACACTTGATTAATCGTTTGGTAGAGTATTTTAGTCTCAAAATAATTTTCCTTTTGAAGGCACTGCCTCAGGAGCTTCTAGCATCCACTGTAGTTAATAATTCTGATGTCAAACGAATGGCGTTTCTTTGTAGGCACTCACTCTATTTTGTTTTTTGTTTTTTGTTTTTGTTTTTTTCCTCTTTTGAAGCTTTTAAACTTTCCCTTACACTACTTTACCAGGATATATCTGTCTTTTTTGTTGTTGTTCATATCACTGACAATTGGTTGACTTTTTCAATTTCAGAAACTGTTTTTTTCAACTTACGGAAATTTTCTATTTCTTTATTTCCTCCTCTCTGTTTTTTCTGTTCTTTCCTCTGAGATGTCCTTAGCCATATGTTGTCCCTTCTGCTTTTATGTGAGTATCTCTTAACTTTTCTCATGTATTTTCCATCTTTTGTTTGCATAGATTTCCCTAACTGGTGTTTCCAGATTACTATTTGGTTTTTATTTTATTTTTTAATTTATTATTATTTTTTAAATTCTTTGGTAGGATTTTTTCTTTTTCTTTTTTCTTGAATTATAGTCAGTTTACAATGTTGTGCCAATTTCTGGTGTACAGCATGACATTTCTGTCATACAGATTCATACATATATTCCTTTTCACATTCTTTTTCATTATACATTACTACAAGATATTGAATATAGTTCCCTGTGCTATACAGTATAAACTCATTGTTTATTTTATATATAGCAGTAAGTGTTTGCAACTATTTGATTTTTAATACTAGCCATTCTATCATTTATTTCTTACTAGATTTTTTTTTATTTTTGGCAATCATATTTTTAATCTCCCACATTTTTCTGTTATTCTCTGATTTCTTTTCCAGAGCTTATTTTTCTTCCTCTGTGGATTCTATTTATACCTGAATCTTTATGAGGACATTAAATAGAATTGATTAAAAGTTGTTTTTGCCTTGCATTAACTTTTTTTCCCTTCTGTAGTCAAAATTTTTTTAAGCTAAAGGTGTTCCTCAAATATCTGGTAATCCCGCGGTGACCATTCGTTTTTATGAATAAAGGATCTGTTGATTTATACAGGCAGCTGTGCTGGTTTCCTGTTGAAGTTGCTTATGTTTATCCAAAATCTCCTCTAAATGAGTGGACACTCATGGCATACTGTGTAATTTGGCAGATTTTGTGGAGGGGAAAGTTTCCCTCCTTACAGTTTGTGGCCGGGGCTCCAGCAGACTCCAGGTCTGTATCATTAGCGAAGTAAAACCAGACCAAACCAACAAGCACTTTACTGTGGGGAGAGGTTTTCAGTCTGTTTTATTCCTGAGTGGAGTTAGCTTTTTCTCTTGCCCCCAGGTCTGTTGGTGGGTCCAAGGACATCTCAGGATCTGTTGCACTAGATCTCGAGCCCCTACACCCATGCTAGGGCCCTTTCCAGGAAATCCCTCCTGTGTTTAGAGCAAGCTTATTTCATGTTGGGGACAGGGTGGGGTGGGAGGAGGCAGTGGGAAGCCTTTCCTTCTGCTCTTCTCCAGGTTGGTGTCTCTTTATTTGTTAAGTCTCTTCTTACATGTTGCTTTTTCAAAAGTGTTTCCTAACTACCTTCTTATCTTTTCTCCCAGCTCCTGGTCCTCTCCTTATATCATTACAGTTTAAACTCAACATTAATTTATATTGGCTTGGCCTCTGGTTGCAAGTGATTAAAAACTGAGTATGATCAGGCCTAAAAAAAGAACTATTATTAACTCGTGGAATCAAACTGAAGATGGGTGGGGTCCGGCCTCCTTCCTCACTTGCCCTCCAGCCTCTCCCCTCTCCTCACACTGTTGCTTTCCTCAGGTACCAGCTTCGTTCTCTGAAGCTAATAGACTCTACCAAGCTAGATTCCCCAGTGGGCTGCAGGCTTACATACTTAGAATCAGAGAAGAAAAAGATAGCCTTCCCTGCCAGCTTGAGTTAGAAAAATCGGGGGGGAGGATTAGAATTCACCTTGCTGGAACCACTCTTGCCAAGGAAGTGGGAGTGCGATGAGCATTTCCAACAACAAACACTTCTTGAAGTAGAGAGGAAGAACGCTCTCCCAGCCCCAAGAAGTGTGTGCTGTTTCAGGAGCAGTTTGGAATGTAAGTTAACAGAAAATACAACAAACAGTTCCTTAAACAAAGAAGGGTTTTCTGCTGTGAAAAATTCACAGGTACGTGATAGTGGTGCTAGTCCACAGCGCACAGATGTCAGGTGAGGGGCCGTTGCATTTTATTTTCTTGGCTTTTCCCTCAAGGCAACCGCTGCCGCTCCAATCATCACACCTGCATTCAGTGGAATAAGGGAGGAGAGGGAAACATGGAAGCGTGAGCCACGGGTATCTCTTTGTATCTAGAAAGCAGTAACTTTGCCAGAACACTTCCCACCTCTCAACACACGTACGGGTACACCTTGTTGTATTGCACTTAGTTAAGCCTTTGCAGATATTAAATACAATATTTATTTGTTTATTTGTGTAGTATATACCTTCTTTCCAGACTGTGACCTCTATGAAGATAGGGACTATGTCTACTTTCTTCACCCTTTTATATTCTGTGATTGTAACTGGCACATGGTAGCTGCTCAGTAAATACTGGTTGACTGACTGAAGCACAAAGAGAAAGATGGAAGTTTTTCTTAAGTATCTGTCATGTGCTAATTACTTCTTAGGTGCTTTCAAGTAGCATATCCTTTGTCCTCAACAACAACACTGTGAGAAGGAAGATACTCATTTGCCTGCTGTGCAAATGAGGACGTTGAGGCTTTCTGCAGAGTGTAATCTGCAATCTGTTATTAATCTCATCCAGTGAAATTTTCTTTTCAGATATTGTATTTTTAT